TCGTTTTTCTACCGTCCTCTTTCTTTAAAAAAAATTAAAATCTGGCATTATAGTCCCAAAGTTTCTGCAAATGAATTATCATGTCGGTTGTCACTCAATTATCACTTTCGACATTTAATCTAAATTATGTTCAGCGCCTTCTTTTTTTCTTTCTTTGAAGTTCTTTCTTGAATTTAAAAGTCAAATTTTTTTTCAAGAAGAGTAAGTTGATGGAAGATAGGGGGAGAGATTAAATCAGGAGAAATCATTGATCAAGGATGCTTGGAATTCTTATGAATACAAATAGTCTATCAACGTTAACGAGATTCAACTTGAGTTTAGAAGAAGGGAAAAGTGTACTTAGTATTTTCTATGCATACAGATTTAATGTCTTAGGTACAATTTAAAAGGTAAATTTTGCAAACTCAAATGTAGCTTTCTTCTATTTGTTTTTTAGGAGCCATTTTTGCTGTTTTTCTCTAATATAAATTAACTGCTTGAAGTATATATTCTGGATCAATAAAAACTAATGCAATTAGTGAGACTTAGTAAAGATCCCCTTAAATACTGACAATTCTTCCAGAAATGGATGTGCTTTTAAGAAATGACCATATAGCAAATATTAACTTTAAAAAATAACCATATAATTTTTTACAACTTATTATTTCATTCAACAAATACTAATTAAGCACCTAGTATAGCTAAGACTGTGTGGGAGCACACAGGGACACAAAGATAAAACTTGTTTCTTAAACCATTTATAATCTGAACTGGAATAGAAGCTTTAAATTCATAAGCGGCTCCCAGAATGCCACAAGTCTGAATTATAACATTAATGCACACTGGTAAGGGGCCCAGAGCAAAATCTGTGCACAGCAACATATCAAAAGAAAAATTAAACCTAAGATTGAGCATCAGAGTGGAAGCATAAAAGATTGCTGGAATGAGAAGAGATGTCAGTTCAACACACTCCAGGAATGAAGACAGAATCTAGCTGAAGTAAATAGTATCTCTGGTTATAAGGACTCTGCAAAAAAGGCGGTGGGGGGTTGAGAAGTTCTACTATAACCATGAACAAGCAGCCCTTAAGACATCATTATTCTCTGATTCTGTGTTCATTAAGCAATTTTTTGGTTACTAATTCTAAAACCAGAAAATTGGGAGATTGGTGCCCTGCACAATAGAATACTGTTTTAATATCTGTAGAGAATGATGGTTTCTAGATTCATCCATGTCCCTACAAAGGAAACAAACTCATCGTTTTTATGGCTGCATAGTATTCCATGGTATATATGCCACATTTTCCCTGTCCAGTATATCATTCTCAGCAAACTTACACAAGAACAAAATCAAACACCACATGTTCTCACTCACAGGTGGGTGTTGAACAGTGAGAACACATAGACACAGGGAGGGGAACAGCACACACTGAGGTCTATGAGGGGGAATTACAGGAGGGACAGTGAGGGGTGGGGAGTTGGGGAGGGATAACATAGGGAGAAATGCCAGACATAGGTGATGGGGAGGAAGGCAGCAAACCACATTGCCAAGTATGTACCTATGCAACAATCCTGCATGTTCTTCACATACACCCCAAAACCTAAAACACAATAAAGTGTATATATATACTTTTTATATATATATACATACATATATATATGCATACATACATATATGTGTGTGTGTATACATATATATATAAAGAAAATATATAAATATATATATATATATATATATATATATATATATATATATCTTTAGATGACTCCCATAGGGTAAATCAGTGAAATGGTACTCTTTTATATATTCGGTCTATGCAAAAGTAATTGCAAAAACTGCAATTACTGACTGTCTTCTGAGTTGTACTGTTAATACGAGCATATGAGGCAGTCCCCTGGGTCACACACAGAAAACTCAAGTTTCCAAATGTGAGGACAAGACCTTGAAACATGATGTCTCCACCATGGTAAGGGCACAAAAGCTCACTGTGTCTTGGTGACAGGGCTGCTGGCTTTCTCCTGAATCTCTTTCTACTTTACTTTAGCCCACTTTGAATTTTTTTTTTGAAATGGAGTTTCACTCTGTGACCCAGGCTAGAGTGCAGGGGTGCGATCTCAGCTTACTGCAACCTCCACCCCCAGGTTCAAGTGATTCTCCTGCCTCAGCCTTCTAAGTAGCTGGGATTACATGTGTCTGCTACCATGCCCAGCTAATTTTTGTATCTTTAGTAGAAATGGGGTTTCACCACGTTGGCCAAGCTGGTCTCAAACTCCTGACCTCAGGTAATCCACCCACCTTAGCCTCCCAAAGATCTGGGATTACAGGTGTGAGCCACCTTGCCCAGCCCCACTTTGATTTTAACAAAACATATCCAGATTACTTCAAGAGAGTATGAGAAAGGCACCATAAGAATATTAGTGATATTGACAAAAGCATTATTCAGAAAGAATTATTATCATTTACAGCTGATATAATCCAAAAAAGGTTCATGGTGGAAAAAGTTTAGGATTTCCACAAAAAGACAAGACATTCAAAGTTGTTCACAGAAACAGTGAACAACCGGAACAAAGGAAAAAATGATGGAACTGAGTAGGGAAGTTTAAGACAAAAGGAATTATTTGACAAGACCGCATATGAGATTCTACAGGAGAGCTATAAGAACGTGAAGGTTTAAAAGGAAAACATTAATGATTGAACAAATCATAAGAACTATTACTATATATATGTTCTTGGGCCTGACCAATAATCTCATTGTGTGCATCTTTTTTATTCATATTTGCTCTCTGAAAAGCAACTAAAGATTAATCTCTCTTTTTTAACTGAATGTATAAGGCAACACCTTCGTACTACCTGATATTTTCAAAAAACAAAGCAGAGACTAACTTCAAGAAAATTCTCAATTGTTAGAGGTGGCAATAGAGTAGTCTATATCCTAATAACTCACAAAGTCTGCACAAGACATCTCTTTGAGAATAGCTTGGGAGCAAAGATATTCAAATGGCCTCCAAAAGGTGCCGTAAGAACATTGGTGACATGGACAATAATCTTGTCCTATCTTAATAGTTCTTTTACAATGAAAAATAAAGTGTAATCAGAAGTGTCACTAAATCAGAAACAACAGTTACAAAGTTAATTAACTATTTTATTGTCCAAAATAAGAAAATCTGAAAAGTAAATTAGTTAATGCTAATGTCTTAGAGGGATAAACACTGTCTTTATGATGTCCTTTGCAATGGCAACTAGAAAAAAATTTATTATCAAAAAGAAATTCTTAGAAGCAAGGCAAACTCAAAGGACTTTCTGCATCAATTTTATGTTTACTTATTTTTTAAAGACAGAGTCTCACTATGTCACCTAGGCTGGAGTGCAGTGGCACAATCACAGCTTGCTGCAGCCTTGAACTCTTGCCTCAAGCAATCCTCTCACGTCAGCCTCCTGAGTAGCCCAGACTACAGGCACAAGCCACTGCTCCCTGCCTGCATGTATTTCAGATTCACTGTGAGAAACAGAGAATTGGCTGCATTTGTGTTCTTTGCTATGCTGCCAGCACCCAGAACAGTGACTGACATGTAACAGGCAGTCAATAATATTTGATGTGTGAGTAAAAACCTCTCCCCTATTTGTTTTTCACATGCAAACGCTATACAACCAAATCAAACTAACCCAAGAGGATTCAAATTCTTCTCCTAACACATGTGAAACTGTAAAAAGAACTATTAAGGTAGGACAAATGGAAAGACAGGAATCTGGAATAAGAGCATTATTAGGCTATTACAAATAATTTTTTAATGCTCACATATTTGAGATTTTTTTCCAATTTATACCATGATGGCAAGTGAAAAAAAAACAATGTGAAGGAAGGAAAGAAGGGAGGGAGTCCCAACGTGTGGTTATGAACACAGAGCAAAGGGATTTTTTAGTTCTATCCAGCATAGTTTTTTTAAAAATACATGACTTCAACAAAATAATCATATTTTAACATTTTCATTAGCAGGATCAAGGGCTAAAATAATACCCATGAAGCAAACTTTAAAAGTTGTATAATTACCATTGCGCTGAGACTATTTCAAGTAAGTCTTTATTATACATGTAGAGGGCTTTGTAAAGAATATATCAATATTTCATTATCTTTACAATCTGAATCTTGAACCAAATTTAAAAGACATTTTCTACTGATGTGCTGACAAGATGAAAGAGAAACACAGACAAGAAACATTAAATATTTCCTTTGGGTTATATAAAATTGGGCACTTTTAACACCAATTTTAAATACTTCAAATGCAACTTAATACCATTAGAACACATCTTCACTCATAAAAACAGACACAGGGAGAATTGATCCATATCTATTTCCAAATGTTTCATCCATTTTTAATCTAATTTGCATAAGTGTAATTTGAATTAAGCCATTTCCCTTTGTGAGGTCTTTTCCTTTGATTTTTAATGTATACTGATAATCACCTCATCTATGCTAGGTAAAAGCAGGAAATGGTAGCTGCCCAGTTACACTTCATTCATGATTACCACATCATCCACAATTGCTACATAACTCTAAATTAATGGAGGCATCACAGGTCCACCCCATGCAGAACAACTAGAGGTATGAAAACCTTCATGGATCCAAAGAGGAATTATCAGTAACACCTTTTTACTATGCATTCTGCAAGTTTCAGCTGCAAAATAAATAATAATTCACTGTTCTCTCAAAGCAAAAAGGGCCCTTCTGTCTGTAGAAAGGGTTCAATTGCTTTAGAACAAAAATATTTTCCAATTTAGAAATAGTAAAGGATTTCTCTGTGAAATAATAAAGGAAAATAATCCTGATTCCTGGTTTTGGGGATCCTGAATTAAAAAGAAATGAATCCATAGGAATTTCTACATATAAGAAAATTAGTCATTAATATTATATTATCAGTATTCAAACTAGGGTTCATAAAATATCTTTATATTAAAATTTCATTTAGCAATTCCATGAAATAAAATCAAAATATTTCTAATACAGTTTAAAATGAGAAAGTCACCTCAACTTGTGCTGCCAAATGTGCTTTCTCCTTGTCTTTTCTCTCCATGCACCGTTTCACTTCCTCTAACTCAGATGCCATTGCATTGAAGTTCAGCTGCACTCTCAAATCTGACATCTGCTTCTCCAGATCCTGTTTTTCCCGCTCGACCCCTTAAAAGACAAAATGTGAAATTCAACGGTTACTCTTGATTCACAGGAGAATGTACTTTCAAATAGTACTGAGCCCTGGTGTTTCCATATTCTAGCTAACATAATACATTTATTGACACTGTTACTCAACAGATTTTACCAGCCTGTTGTCTCAAGTTTTATACAGTTTTCAAAAACATATACATTGCTATGTCATCAAATATTATTCCAGTTTGATACTAAAACTTTAAATGTTACCTGATTTCTACTGCAATTTATTTCAAGAAAATCACACACATTTTAAAATTTAATTTTCCTCACACCTCTACACTATCTTCAAACAATAAAACAAAAATACAAAAAGAGTTTTCAACTAAGCTACTTCATCTACAGAATATTTTCTTACAACATAAACAACAAATGATGCTGTTAAATCTCTGATTGTATATGACCAACCAATTTACTAATCCTTACTAATCTGGAGATTATTCCCTAAAATTAATATATAATTTAACAATATAAGTTGACTGAGTATTTAAATCAACATGAAACACTTGATCTATGATACACAGGGCACTATAATACCTCCTTCTAATATAAGGACAAATAATATAAAAATTCATACTCAATGAGCTTACATCCTGATGTGGTTTGGCTGTCTCCCCACCCAAACCTCATCTTGAATTATAGCTGCCATAATTCCCACATGCTACGGGAGGGACCAAGTGGGAGGTAATTGAATCATGGGGGCAGCTCTTTCCCATGCTGTTCTCATGATAGTGAATGAGTCTCACAAGATTTGATGGTTTTATACAGTTCCCCTACATAAGCTCTCTTGCCTTTGTAAGATGTGCCTTTGCTTCTCCTCTTCTACTTTCCCTTCCATCATGATTGTGAAGCCTCCCCAGCCATGTGGACCTATGAGTCCATTAAATCTCTTTCCTTTACAAATTATACAATCTCAAGTGTGTCTTTATTAGCAATGTGCGAACAGGCTAATACACATCCCAAGAATAGAGACAAAATATAAAGTACTTTATGGAGTCTAAAATGTTAACAATTAGAACATAAACTGTCACTTTAAAACTACTATCTTTCTAATAGTTTTCTTTCCAGAAAAAAAAAAAAAAAGGAGAGAATGAAAGAAGAAAACACTAACAAATCAAATGTATACATAATTCATAAAATACATTCCAACTTCAGAATATTAGTGTTCAAAATTATACATGTTAGAATGTAAGACATATGGGCATTTCAATAGGATGATAAGATCACTGATAGATACATGTGGATTATACAGAAGCAGTACAAACAGGAAAAGGGATTAGCTCCATCTCAGTGAGGAACTAAGGCAGGAAGAACAGAGATGTAAGTCAGACTCAAGGAATGAATACAAAACTTCACCAAGCAAAGGAGAAGAAGTTGGGGTGTATTTAGGGAAAGAACATACCACAAAGCATACAAAAGGTACAAAATTGAATTTAACATTCAGGTAATTGCACACACAGCAGTTTGTTTTCTTTTTAGACGGAGTCTCATTCTATTACCCAGGCTGGAGCGCAGAGGCACAATCTCGGCTCACTACAACCTCTGCCTCCCAAGTTCAAGCGATTCTCCTGCCTCAGCCTCCTGAGCAGCTGAGACTACAGGTGCCCACCATCATGCCCGGCTAATTTTTGAACTTTTAGCAGAGAGGGGGTTTTACAATATTGGCCAGGCTGATCTCCCGACCTCGTGATCTGCCTGCTTTGGCCTCCCGAAGTGCTGGGATTACAGGTGTGAGCCACTGCACTCGGCCCCACAGTAGTTTTAAGCAGCTAATACATCTCATACGCTATCAGTGTGGGAGGAAGGAGAGTCAACAGAGTTTGTGTTGCTAGGAAACAGAATTTATCCTACAAACCAAGTGTCAGCAAACATTTTCTATAAAGGATCAGATAATAAATATCTTAGCTATATGATTTCTGTCACAACTAGCCACTTCCACCATTATATTGTAAAAGTAGCCTAGACAGTGCATAAATGAATGGGAGTAGCTGTGTTCCAATAAAGCTTATTTACAAAAACAGGTGACAGTCTGGATTTGGCACATAAGCCCTATTTTCCCTACTCCTGATAGTTCTCCAACCTGCAAAGGTACAAATTTATCTATTTGTAAATGTATTTGTTCATTTTATAAACATATGTTTTATTTATATATGTGTATATGTATATTTGTGTGCATATAACTTATGTTTCAATAATATGTATATATCAACACATGTTTCCTGATATATATACATGGATGTAACATTAGAATGAAGATATTATATAAAATATGAAGGCACATATATGTATATATGTATACTTCATGAACCATATATTTGATATGGAGACATTTGGTATGTTTACTTATATATACATATATACTACTAAAGATAAATATACACATACATCTATACATATACACATGTAGTATATGTAATGAAATATTTACCAAAGTTAAAAATATTTAAAACAAACAGTATAAAATATAAACAGCATTACAAACACTCCATTTTGGAGAATGCTTGGTCGGTATACGACAGCAATTGAGATCTCCAGTTTGGGAAAAGAATAACCGGAGTCAGCTGCTTCCCTCATGTGTGATCTTGGGCAAGCGACTCAACCTATTTATTCTCAGGTCCTTTTTTTTAAAATCATTAAAATAGAAATAAGAATAGTGCCCTTTAGTAGTAGAAAAGAAAATAGATTACAGAGAAGCCAGAACAGTAAGACAAGAGAATACGGCATGTCCTATACTGACTCAAGCATGCTTAAGCTGGGGCAGTGAGTATAAGAAAAAGAATGTAGCAAATCCAAGAGCTATCAGGGTGTATAAATAGGCATGAGGTAGAGACTAATTAGAGGAGAGAATAAGTCATTTCTATATTCTTTGCAATTTAGGCTTGGATGTCTGGATGGAGGATGATGTCATACACTAAGACAGCAAAGAAAGACAGGTTTTGAGGAGAGGATGAATTCAGCCGCTTATCTGTTGATCTGTAAACATCAGAGCATTCTGAGGAAAAGTATATGAAGATATCCAATGACCAACTCCATCTGGAGGTCCAAAGGCTAGGAGAGCAAATAGAGTTAAAGTTAGGAATGATCACTTCTAGGTGATAATTTTTAATCAATTCCCAGGCAGAAATACTAAGTAACAAAAGCCATGAATAAAATACTAGGCAAAACCAACATTTAAAAGACAAACTGTGAACACAGCCAAAAGATTCAAATACAAAGAATGTTAGACAGAGTAGGAAAGGCGAGGGACATGGAAGTCAGAGGAAGCATTTCAGGAAGGAAGAAAAAGTAAGCAGGTAACAGTAAAATAAGTAAAAAACAATCTCCTTGGAATTAACAGAGGAGATTGCTAGCAAGCCACACAAAGTCAATTTCACAAATAGAGGTGGAACCCATTTGGCAGTGGGCAGAGGAAGAAATAGCCCCTGAAAACGGGTAAGTATGATTTCTAATGTAGAACTGTCTTTAAATAATGTAAGTATTCTGCAAAGATGAAAAACTCTACAATTGTTAAAAGGCGATGAAGTTCATTATCACATACATGAAAGACCTTCCAAAATTTTTCCGTACCTGATAAGTAGTTAAGAAAAGCTCAACATTTTTTAGTCCTCAAAGACTTACAACAAAAATAATTACATTTTATGAGGTATCAAAACATATAACACATGTGTTGGATCTTTTTTCCAACAATTTCCATGTGTATCATTTATGAAATCTGATGAAGAATCTAATAGCTTAGGATCTTTTAAAAATAAGTGATATTCTGATATTTAAATTATACCACATGAAACTTAATGGCATGGAACTAAAAATATGCTACGGTTTGGATATAGTGTATTTGTCCTCACCAAATCTCACTGTGAAATTTTATCCCCACTATGGCTGTGTTAGTAGATGGGGCCTAATGGGAGGTGTTTGGGTCATGGAGATGGATCCCTCACGAATGGCTTGATGTCCTTCTTGTAGTAATGAGTGAGTTCTTGCTCTCCTGAGACTGACTGGTTCTCAAGGGAACTGATTAGTTCACACAAGAGTAGGCTGTTAGAAAGCCAGTACATTCCTTGAATTTAGTCCCTCTTTACACATGCCCACTCTCCATTTGAACTTCTTTGCCATATTTTGATGGAGCATAAAACTCCTCACCAGAATTCAAGCAGATGCTAGAGCCATGCTTCTGGTACTGCCTACAGGATTGCACCCTAAATAAAGCTCTTTTCTCTGTAAATTAGCCAGCCTCAGGTATTCCTTTACGGTAACACAAAACAAACTAAGAAAATATATTAGAATAGCTTTGTCAAAATTTGTCATCCATTGAAGATTTTCTGGCAATGTGGAAATTCTAGCTTAGGCAACTTATGGATGTCTTTGGAAAGCCCGGGGCAACGTTTACCTTCCATTAATTCAATAGTACATCAAACACTTGTCAGAATTTTGCCAATAATTTGAGCATTTGAGTAGAAAGTCTCATTATTGGAATAACACAGAAGCTAAGCAATGTGAACTCACCTAATATAAACCATTATATATAATCTCAAAATTACCATTACTAATCCTGAACATACCTCCAGTCATTAAATTCCATAACTTAAATTAATACCTCCACTGAGAAAGTATCCTAATACTTTTCAAACACAAAGTGTTCCTAGTCCACATAAAAAGCTAGTGATACCACTCATAACCACTTCTGAGGTGTGATTACTTTTTGTCACCAACGCCAGATAACAAAAAAGAGAGGGTCTTAACTTTAATTTCTCACATACTGAAAACTGAGGAGATTGTGAAAAACAGAGTGACATTTACAATTTAAGTACAAAGACTGGTACTCACGCAAACATATGCACATATATGGGGATAGGAGGCTGGAAAAACTACTGCTTTTGCAGGCTCTAAGAGAAAACCCCATGGTTAAATAGGTCTAATAACCAAAACAGGTTTGAACCAAGCAGGGAAGATATTAAAACATGATGATGCTAAATTATTATCAACTTATCGGAAAATTTTTAATAGATCAAGAAACAGTATGATGTAAGCATCAAAAAGGAATGCAATTCTCAGGATGAAAAGTATTTCCTAAGAAAGACCAAAAAGCTCCCACACAAATTATCACAGTATTAGGTATAAATCTACAATTTACCTCTTCTAAACCTCCAGTCCTCCCCTTGTTCATCCTGATAGTTTGACGGTTGCTTGGGAATCTGAGACACTTGATGCTGTAAACCTTTTCGATCACCTTCTGCTTTCGTAAGTTGTGTACGCAGTTCTTCTACCTAAACACATAGTCAAAAGTCAAACATCAGTTTTCACAATCAGAAAATGATTTACTTCACATGGGCTACTGTAAACACAAGTTGAATCCAGGTTAATTTACTTCCAAGCATAGTGGAACGGTTTCCTGCTCCATTTCCTCATTCTTCTCAGTTCGTCCACAAAGAATAAATGAATGCTTTTTCCTTCTCTGTGTCCATTGTGGCAAAGAAAGTGACTGGATTTTTTTAAATCACTTATTTTGTCCTCAGTCTACTCCATTACTAATAACCAAAACCACCTTCAATTAAGTATCATATGTTTTTATATTTTTCTGTTTTCACCCATTTGCTTTCATGTGAACATGGTCTACTGGTTGTTAAATTCAAGGGAAATAATCATGATTTAGAATATTTTGATACTAACATCATGCTCAAAATAAGTATGCAACAGATGCTGTTGAATAAACTCTAAACTCCTTGAAGTCAGGGACTGATTTGTTCATCTTTCTATCCTTAGAGTACCAAATTACCTAGCACATAGCAGGTACTTCCAAATGACCATTAAACACATTAGCAATGGCAAAAAGATTCAGCTGAATCACAAGGACAGTCTAAACAAAGAAATCTCTTACTTCAAAAACTGAAATTGGAGATTATAAGTCAGAGCTCCAAACAAATCAGAATGGAATTAAATACAAATATAAACTTCCAAAAAGGAAAGTTTGAACTCTGCCAAAATTAATTCCATGTGACCACTGGCTGCAGAACAAAGTCAGTGGATATTTTCAAAGGTTTTGTAAAACAGGTGCTATCTTGTATTTTCAGCACCAGTTGTCAGAACGTAACACTCCTTCTAAACATCTATAAGGCTTGACATCTTTGCCTACCACTAGCATATTCTAAAGGTGAGTTATATAACACACGCTACAAAACAGAAGAAAGTATAATTGCAGTTTGTTTTAAACACAGAGAGGCGGTTAGAAACTCATAAGCCCTTATACAATGTAAGATGGTTATTTAAAGTTATTGAACTTTAAACATCAGAAGCACCAAACTCCCATTATGGGCTGATGGAATGCAAAATGTTATACTTAAAAATCAAGCCTTATCTTTGGTTAAAAGGGTCAGGTAGTATCTTGAAAACATAAATTAAAGACAATGACATACTCAAAGTAACCTGAACATGCAAAGGTCTCTTTTATATAGTTTACTTCTTCCTTTACTCTCCAATGCCTCCTGGAATAAAATTAAGTTCCTGGGAAAATTTTATCTTATACATTCAGTCTTACTTTTACACTGCTCATGCTAAGAGAGATAAGTAATGAGTTGTAGCAGCAATCAGCAAGATACACCATCACAGTGGGGACTTTGGCTGGTGTTTGTACTAGCTTTCTCTGAATTTCCCTGAAAGAATTTTATCTTTTACTTAGGTGTGTTAATATACATTCCTTAGGAAAAAATTTTTCTAGACCAAGTTTATTTTTTGTTCCTTTCACAAAGACATTTAAATACAGCTGCTCAATCCTGATTTAATGTAAAAGTATATTATAATAGTTTGCATAGACTTACCTGATGCAAAAGTGTTTCTCTGCTGCCTTCTGATTGATTCAATAACCTTCGAGATAGCTCCAATTCCTGTTCAAGCTAGAGTTTTAACAAAAGATAAAGAAAAATGTCCAATGGAGCAGAAGATAACTAAATTATTATGGGCACAGTTTAAAAGGAAAAAAATGGAAAAGTTTTCAGAAGACATTTACAGCTAATGTAAAAGAATAAATATCTTACTATGAACATATATCAATACTTTAATGTTAATTGTATAACATAAAGTGAACTAGACCAGGCCTCAGGAAGTCTGGGATGTGGAAGGGTTCATCTCAACTGTGAGCCAGTCCAAGTCTCTTCTCCTTAGGCCTCCATTCTGTCATCTCTAAAGTAAGAATTTTATGTTAGACAATCTCTGAGATCCCTTCCAGTTCTAAGTTACTTTAATCTAAATCCTAAGGCAATTTTTTCTTTAAATTAGAATACGTAGTGTCAAATTAACTAAATTAGAATGAAAACTGCAGGGACCCAATGGCTCAAAAGTTTCATCTAATTAGTGATTTCCTATATTCCTAATATTTCTACTATTCATAAGACATTCCTTAAATTTTTAAACGTCTAAATTCAGAATGAAACATTTAAAATTTCTTTAATGATAATGCCATCAGATAAATATCTATAAAAAATGTGACTAGTTAGGTGACTAAATATTCTACAAACTCCTAATATGCCTAGATGATTTCACATTGAAACATGTAATAGGATAGAATACAAGTTTGTTAAAAAATTTGGAGCTTATATGTGCTACACTTGTCTGTACTTTGTAACAGTAAGGTTGTTTCATAAAAATCACACATTTATATTAAGACACTTGTTTAAAATACTTAGCCTAAATTATTGCTTCCACTGAACAACTGCTATCTGTATATTAATCCTTTCATAACTGTACATGTGGTAGGTATGCCTGTGAAAGAGCGTAAGGGAACCTTGTGGTGATGGAACAGTTCTGTATCCTGATGGTGGTAGTGGTAACAAGAATCTATACAAGATAAAAATGGGTAGAACTTCACACACACACACAAATGAGTATATATAAATCTGGTGAAATCTGTATAAACTAAGTAGATTGTACCAACGCCAATTTTCTGGTTTTAATATTGAATGGTAGTTATGCAAAAATGTTACCATTGAGGGAATCTGGGTGCATGGGACCTCTCTGTGGATCTTGTTTTACAATATCCTATAAATCTGCAATTATTTCAAAATGTATCTTTAAATCCCATTACATAATTTTTAAAAAATTATACATGTGGCTCATTAAAAAAAAGTCACATAAAAAAAAAAAAGTAAAGTATATGTGGGAATCACAGAATGCATACAAAATACTGTCTGACCTGTTGTTTAGTCTCTGTGGAGAAATAGAGGGAAGAAACCACACTTGAAGCAAAATGACTCTGAAATCAACCAAAGCCCATATTGGTCATAATCCCTGTGTAATTTCTACGTCGCAACTCCCAAAGGGCAAATTTAATGACCTAACATACTTTGCCTACCCTAAAAGCAGAAGGGAAGCTGCCTTTACATGAGTTGGTGAAATAAAATAAAGGAGGTAATGGTAGGTAGAAAGCAGCGCTATGGAGTAAAGAACAGGGCAAATTTTCACTTCACCATTCATTACTTTGAGTTCATCCTTAAATCTACTTATTCGCAAATTAAGGAAGAGTGGTTTGGCCTCTGAATTCCTTTCTAACTCTAAAGTGCTAAGCTCTATGTATTCATAGACATGAACACACAGTTCATAAACATGAACATATATCAAAGGTCTCTATTTTAATAGAAACAGAAAATGTTTTCAGAACTGGGCTGCTAACTCTATCTGTCCACTATAATGAAAATGAATATAACCAAAATATTCAGGTCTCCAAATGACAGGCCTTTTCTAACCCTGCAACAAAGTCAAGTTCTTTAAATGTTTCCAACAAGGAAAAGTTAAGTTTAATGCACCTCTCAGAAAGGAGAGTGGTCATAGATGACAAACAAGGTAGCAAACGACTTTCATATCTGTTTCCAAGAGCAAGTGCTGGCAAGTAAAAGAGGCGTTGAACCAGTTGACTCCTCATTGAAAGATAAAGATCTCACACTGTTCTAAAGGATCCTGGGGACACTTTTAAAAGCACTCCACAAATACGACTGGCCCAAACCACTTTATTCTTTGAAAGATAACTTTCAATATCTTACTTGATTCTTCTCAGTTTCAGTTTGTCTTAGCTTATTTTTTATTGCCCCTTCATTCTCATCTGCTTTAGCTTCTTGTTTCTTCAATGCCTGGAACAAAAGAGGTGGAAAAAAATCATTCCAAAATATGTATAAAACTGAAAGTCACTAGTAGAATTTATTATGTGTTAGGACTGAAGAAGATATGGATGTGAGTTACACAAAATCTATAAATAAATCACAACCTGCTCATTCACTTCACTGTAGCCCTAAGAACACTTCAGTGGAGATAAAATATAAACAATTCCTGATCATCCTAATTAATATACATGTCATTTCCTTTTTTCTCCATTTTTGGGAATTTTATTACATTATTTACAGAACCTAGATTGCTAATGGTTTTCTTAGAAACAAATCTTCTTTTCTACAATTTCCCCTCTTTAATAAAATGAGGAAAAAGAAAATAGACATTTCAAAAATTAACTACAAAAGTGTTTGTTTTGGTTTGTTTCTATGTTAAAACAAACTTAAAGGGAAAAAAATCATACTTGGAACTGTCTTTCATAACATCTGAAATGCATTCCATAGTTTAAAAAATATTCTTTAACAATTTTAGTGTTTAGACTTAGCAAGGTGTATGTGTAAAGTCCATATGACTTGTGAAAAGCCAAGCTGCCAGAAGCCTTTGCCAACAAGATCAACAGAAAAATAATTTTCAGGTAAACAGCAAAATATATTAAAAATTGCTTTGATGCAAGTTTACTCAATCATTTCAGCTCCCTCTGCCATAATTCCCACTCTCAAATAGCAATTGAGTTAAAAGGCAGAGAAGCATCAACAAAATGAAAAATAATTATGATTTGAGAATAATATTACCACATTTTTATAGTGTTTAGTATGTCCAGGCATTCTTCTTCTTCTTATATATAATAAATAAATATGTTACATATATTCCAAATATACATTTAATCCTCATGATGATTCCTTAAGTTATTATTATACTAAGCCCATTTTATTAAGGGGTAAATTGGAGCACAAGTGGCTGAATAATTTGCCTAATATCACTCACCTACTTAGTGACAAAGACAGGATATAGATTCTGGCTGCCTGTCACTTAACAATTGAGTGCACTGTTTCGTCATATTGAAATGATAATACCAACCTTATAGGGTGGTGGTGAAAACTAAATGATCTGATATCTGTAAAGCACATAAAGCCTGTCTTTATCTGTAAGGCACATAAATACCTGGCTCCTAACAGATGTGCAATAAAAGGCAACTATTACTATTAAAAATACTAATAGCCTGGGTAATAGACTGAGGCTCCCAAAAAACTTAAAAAATCCAAATTTCCATATTTAAGTTGGTTGAATAAAAGAAACTTTAATTTTCTTTATTTTTTTTTTTTTTTGAGACGGAGTTTCACTCTTGTTACCCAGGCTGGAGTGCAATGGCGCGATCTCGGCTCACCGCAACCTCCGCCTCCTGGGTTCAGGCAATTCTCCTGCCTCAGCCTCCTGAGTAGCTGGGATTACAGGCACGCACCACCATGCCCAGCTAATTTTTTGTAGTTTTAGTAGAGACGGGGTTTCACCATGTTGACCAGGATGGTCTCGATCTCTTGACCTCGTGATCCACCCGCCCCAGCCTCCCAAAGTGCTGGGATTACAGGCGTGAGCCACCACGCCCAGCCTGAAACTTTAATTTTCTTGGATGCTTAGAAATTTGCTAAAATAGTCTTGTGCTACTGATTTCTTCCTCACTTTCTCCTTTCAACATCTGATAAGTTATTTATAATATTGACTTTCCAAAATAATGTACTTTTCTATTATAGCTCTACTTGCTACCTAAAACTTTAATAGCCTACTTTTTTAATTTCTCCTTTTACTCTAAGTAAATGTAAGTCTTAAAAAATGTTGTCAATGAGAACTTAAATTCTATTGTTTTCAATAAGGAGCAAAAGTAAGATACTAAGGAACAATTCAAAGCAAATTACTACATTTCCACTATATCATCTAGAAATGCCATTAAGTTTGAACACTAGCTCTGCTTTCTGTATACCATGAGTCAGTAAACAAGTCAACACAGATGCAACATTCTACCCTAGAATATTGAACCCGTTTTTCTACATTATCTAGTTCAAAATAAAAGACAAAAGAAGGAAAATCTAACACTTTAGATCCATTAAATATATATTGATGCACTGAAAACACAGCTAGTACTCAAAGAGAAACATTTTTAAATCAACCAAATCAAAATTACAAGCCATTTCTTTAAACCTTAATAATAAACGTTAACTAATTTACTACCTTTTTTAAGGGTGTAAGCCTGCACTGGATTTCTTTTCCATTTGACTTAGATCAAGGAACTTAGAACTATATTAAAACTGACACAGTAAAAGCAAGTTATAAAAGAAGAAAAAAAAATCACATGCCAATGAATTTCTATTACTATGTTATTTTGCCCTTTAAAGCTAGTTTGTTTCTTAAGAGCAGTTTAGCTACAAAGCTGTCATGTGCCCTGCTCCAGGATTTACATTGTCTTTTACATGTTTAAGATCACAGCAACAACACGGAGCCTTAACAGAGAGTCCCCGGGGCACATTTAAATCTTTAATAGCAACAAATTTTCTTCTTTCCTTTAAGTGTGCTGTATCATGTATTGTACTACTGCATTTCCTTAGAAGTTAATGAGTCTAAATTCTCATAGCTATAGATATTCAGAAAAATATAGCTTTTCCTTTTAGAGAGTAGTGAAAAGGGGAAAAGAAAAATGTTTGTAGACCTCTCACTCAACCATAAAACACTCTACAACTTTGACAACAAGCATGTTTATCAAGAGGCTCTAACAGATAACACACTCCAAGACCTAGAACAAATAGGGAATTAAAGGCCCTTTGTCTGCTTTAAATGGACCAGCAAGCTTGGTTAAGAATGATGCCATTGGAATGAAATAAAAATCACATGTTAATTCCCACACAGGCCAATGAAATTTCCAGTGAAAAATTATGAACATAACCTTTCCCAATTTATCCTAATCACTCAGCAGTGCTACAACTGCACGCCTTTGGTCACAAGGCCAACAACATGTAGATCATTCACTGGTAAATTAACAACACTATAGAAAAACAAGTCTGTGCTCATATTAAACAGTATCATTTACTTGAAGGTACAAACTATCAAATCAGATTTTTTTTTCCAGTAACGTTAAAGAATAAGTTATATTGCTGAAAATTAGAAAATCATTGTTCTTACTCTATTTCATAATTAAATCTTTCACATGCACACAAAATAAAAGTCAGTGAACAAATAGTTTAAGCTTAATAGAATATAATGAGACTCTGATCTAAATTAGACCACATGGGCTACACGTTGAAACTACAAGTTGTTTATATTTATGTATATTAAAATTTTGAAGTAGCTTTAAGGACATTTGTAATATTTTCAATCAAGCAAAAATTCTATTAAGTACTGAGTATGTATAAAACACTATCATGGAAACTTAATTAAAATTTTTAAAGATGGAAAACTGATGTCTATCTCCAAAATTCTTTTTGGACATTTAACACAGCTCCAAAACCATCAAACATCAATAAAATAATACATATTTTTAGAAGGGCTCTATATGCATAATACAGCAGAATTTTATTGCTTAGAACACATACTACTCATTTATATTAACACAGATTTTCCTGTCATGTTCTTTGAATTTCTAAATCATGCTTTTTCTCAAATCAAGTTAGAGATTCCTCCCCCACGAGAATTAGATAAAGTAATGGAAAATTTTAGCCTTTAAGTTCATCCAGTTGGGGATTATTTGTGCCAACAAAAACCAAAACAAAAAAAGTAAGTTTCTTTTCAAGGCAAAAAGCAAAACAAAGCATTCATATTCTAAATCCCTGAACCAATATCTAATTTAAAAATAGCTAGGTGGATATTAAATTGTTCAAAGAAATTTATTTTTCAGCCATGACCAAGGAAAGGAAATTCTATACNAAAAAAAAAAAAAAAAAAAAAAAAAAAAAAAAAAAAAAAAAAAAAAAAAAAAAAAAAAAAAAAAAAAAAAACCACATACCACATGCTTTGGTAGGTGAAAAGTATAAATGCTTGAAAGAAGTCCAAAAGGAATTCAATAATGATACTATTATGGTACCACATATACTTGGGGGATATCAAAGTAAGAGAAATTCAGAAAACTTGGTATGAATTGCACTCTGTATATTTTCCAGGCAAAAATGCTAAGCACATAGTAAGTAAAGTCACAATATAAAACAATTCCTGTTTTTCAAAGGATAATATCCAATATCTTGTAGTTACATAGGATTGATCATAAGTTAAATACTATTTCTGATAGTAATAGTAATCCTTAATAATGTTCCTTACAGCAGCACAAGGTTTCATTTTGAGAATAGCCTAGATTTGTTTTTTTTTCATTTTTCTCTTCTTATGATGTTTATTATTTCAAGAATGCCAAGAATCCAGAAGGGATCTTATAGGAATTATCTTGGTAGAAAAGACAGACGTTTTTTACTGACCTATTTTCCCAAATGAACAAACAAACTTCTTCGTTCCACTATGTCCATACCTACGGAATCTACTGCTGTTTAGGGCATCTAGTGCCACTAAACCCAAACAAGGTTATGGTTCAACTACCGATTCCCTTTGCTCTTTTCATGGCCACAATCTTTACCCTAAACCTAGTCAAGGGCCTTAGAGGAGGCTAACTAGACCAGAGACTATGAATGAATCAGCAGAAATTCAATACCATGACTACAAAAATAACTCAAAGGTAAAACTCCTGTTGACCAGTATCAAGATTTCATCTTTCAAATGTTATAAATTTGCCAACCTGCAAAACCAAACCTTAATTACTTCATAAAAAAGCCAGTATGTTAAAAAGATATACAAGTCTTTCAACTTCTTTAATTCAAAAGCAACAGTGGTAATGAGTATTATGCCCTGACATGCCATTGCTTTTACTGGAACAGACTATATTTTTATGCAATCTTTTACTTAATAAAAATCTTGCAAGTAAAGTTAAATGTGAGCCCAACAAGTACACTTTCCAGGATTTCCTTCAAAATCAAAAAACAAATGCTCCTATTAGAAGTTC